TCTTAAATAAATTCCGCATGTAAGATAATATTACAATATGTCAACCCTGAAGTTACTTATATTCGCCCTTGAACTTCTGTAATACATGCAAAGGTAACCCTTTGTGTGATATGCAGATTATGCATGAATTGCAAAAGAAACACAAACCCGCCAATGTAACACGAATAAATGGAGGGATCAGAGGTTTGAAAACAAAAGTAACAAGCATAATATTATAAATTATTCAAAACTCTTTCCTTCCCATCGCCCACCTCCCTTAATTAAAATTAATTCAAAGATCACAAAACCTCCGGATTCGGGCGTACACGTTTTAAGAGATACTCGACTACTCGAATAATGATAATCCCAGCCAGCGATGCTGGGGCGCGAAGTCAAGGACAACCTGGGACCTGGGGCGGAAGGGAGAGAACTGCACCAGGACCGAACACCTGGAGTAGTCTCCGTTCCGAACGTTTTCCAACCAACAACAACCCAGCCAGTCAATAATATCAAGGACTGCGGAGATAGCACGTCGTGCATCATGGCTTCCGCTGCTTCTAATGAATGCTTCTTCGAGGGCACAGAAAAGCTGTTGGAGGTCTGGTTTTCCTCGTCACATCCTAATGATTCTTGTGACTTACGAAGGATTGAAAGGTAGATTCTGTGTTTTTTTCTTTTATTGTTTGTTTGCACAAGGACTTTCCCTTTTATTCTTTGCGTCAAGTAACAGGTCTAACCCACTGACTTTGAAATGCGCCATCGCCAGGCCGCAGGCTTGGACTATAGTATTTTCTGCTAGCCTCACCCGAGGTTGTTGAGTACACTATTGGCCGTCAGTTGTTCATTTTATTGCAGCATCTCATATTTTGATAATGAATGTTCATCTCTTTGTCGAAGGGATGCTCCCATGAGATCTAAATCTAATCTAGATCTAGACTATCTCGGGTTCACTCTCCGAAAGGCCTCACTCTCCCCTTGCCACTATGCCGGGCTTGGGTTTGGTCACCGGCTTGCACTGCCCCATTCCTGGGCCAGTCTGAGTCTTGTCTGTGTGCCAAGCACACTATTATTATTATACATTGAATATAATAATATAATGTTTTCCTGCATTTGTTCTAGATCTAGATCTAGATTAGATCTAAACATAGATCTAGTTGATCTAGATCTAGATCTAGATATCTTGATCAGACATTTATCATGATTTCACATTCAGGAGTTAGGGTAGATCTCTAGATCTAGAATCTAGATCTAGAATCTAGTTCTATCTTCATAGAGGGCTATGGAAAAAGATTCAAGTCCAGTTGCGCAGCAGGACAGGACTAGATCTATTACACACTTGAATGTAGTACAGCAAGCACCAAGCACACCTCTGTGACGTGGTTGGCCCAAATATAGATCTAGATCTAGATCTAGATGACGTATTTTTGCCATCTATTTTTGTTGTCTTCCGTGGCTTCCCTCGCCAGTTGACTATATTCCACTGTGGTGGGCCTGCTTTGCCACTTACTGTGACTTACTGCACGATGGGCTAAGTCACTTGGTTTCATCACCGACTGCTTGGGCTGTGTTTGCGTTACATTATGTGTGTGAGCGCGCACGCGTGTGTGTGTTTGTGTGTGTGTGTGTGTGCATGCGCGCGCTTGAGTGTGTGTACAACTTTGGGTAAATTTATGGAATGAAAATTGCTGAGATTGTTCTCATAAAAAATACAACAATGTAAATTAATACACACAACAAATAAAAAACCAACAGGGCGAGGTCTATTCAACAGCTATTGGCGAGGGAAAACCAAGTGTCTTGGGACAAAAATGGGGCCTAGATAGCGGAAAACGTCATCTCTATATATTTGGACCAATCACAGAGAGGTGTGCTAGGAGCTTGCTGTATTAATGTAGCTTCATGTGACTAATACTATCAGCAGGGCTCCCCATTAATATGCACAGCAGACATGCGTTTTTACGTATTAAACCTGCAGATTACCCCCTTTGAGTTTTGATGGTGCATCGTTGACATTAAAATTACTCTTTAAAATTTCGTTTTGGGGGTTTTCAACGCTTTAAAACATACTATGGTGTGCGTCTGGCAAGCATCATTTTCCCCCATCTCTATCCGGAAGCGGAGTCAATGATTTGACGCCACACCCACACACATACACGGTACTGTTAGTCACCTTTTGTCTGTGACAGAAGCAGTTGACCTACTTCAGCTGCACACAGTTTCTGGCGACACAGGTTTGCTACAGCAGAGAAGCTTCGTGCACATTTTGGTTCTTTCGCATTTTTGCCGGTGTCGTTCCTTGAGCTTACCCCTGCCGTGAGATTACCCCCTTCCTGCTTTGTCTTTAACACTGATAAACATGAATTGTCCACCATTTTTACAATTTAATCAAAAGTCTGGAAAGACGGGAACGTGAACCCTGTGATGGCTCTGAAGAATAATGAATCAGTTTATTTTCTTTGTGTATACAATTGAAATTGATAACCCCTTTTGGTTTGTCAACTTAATTTTATTTTTGATTTGCCCGCCCAATCACCACCACCCATCCCCTCCTCCAAGTGGACACAAATCTAATTCTAGTCAATATTACTCATTGATTTCTTGTTGTTACATGATCGCGCACACAGAGGTGTGCTAGGTGCTTGCTGTAGCTTCATTCATGTGTAATAGTCCTGTCCTGTTGCGCAACTCTGGACTGATCTTGTAACATGACATTGTTACACAGTTAATTCAAAATTGTTAGCATTCAATCATAGTCATGGTCACTCTGTTGTGAATGTGTGCTTGTGAGTTAAATGTTTACAATACATGATTCAAAAATTCGTAAAATTAGAATATAATTGACTCTTGAGGATTAGTTTGTCAGACATGAACAAAAAAACCAACAACCATTTTAGTTTCTAAGACAAGGGTTTGAAACCCCTTAAATAATAATAATAGAGATGCATATGTATAGCGCATATTCCCACTCAACAGCAGGCTCTATGCGCTTTACACTATATTATTACCCCAGCAGACCATAGAACACTCCGAAACATTCTCAGCTTCCCATGAAGCATACAGTGCAAGCAGCTGATTAAGCGCTCAAACACTAACAAACTGACAAGATCTTTCGCTGTCTATAGCCGGGTATCCATTCCCACCTGGGTGAAGTGAGGAAAATTCGTGTAAAGTGCCTTTCCCAAGGACACAACGTCGGGCCCCTGACGAGATTCGAACCCACGACCTTACGGTTGCGAGTCCGAGAGCCTAACCACTAGGCCACCGACGCCACCTTAAGAACATAATGTGTATCGTTTGCTTCAGTTGTAAAAACATATGATTTTGAGAAATAAACAAGCAACAGTGTACAGGACACTTATTTATTTTTACTTTCGCTTTTGGAAGACATAGATGTTCATGCTTGATTTATGTTTTTTCTTTTTGTTTAGGAAAGAATGGGATGACCTTCTCAAGCTTGTCAAATGTGAGGTCATCAGCTTCATGAGGGACGACAGCATGGATGCATACGTCCTCAGGTACTTAGTACAACTGTCTGTGCTTCGATTTACTTGCAATATTTCTCTTCCTAACTTTTCTTCCTTTGTAATCAGTTTTTAATCAAATCTGATTAGTGGTTGACTGTTGGTCCTCCAACCCACAGCAATAATGGTTATATTATCATGTGTCATGACACAGTGGAATCAGGCGCTTGTCAATATTTGGGCATGTGGAGTTATTGATATCATCTGAATACGTATTCATTTGCCTTGCTTTCAATGAAAAAAAACCCCCATCTATCTCAAATAGAAGTCTAGATATTTGCGATTGAGGGAGACGGGGTCACCAGGTTTCAGTGATAAAATTAGCGAGAAAATGGCCGCCAAAGTTTGGTTACTTCAGTAGCTTGAGAGTCCTTGAAAACTTTAAAATTCCATATCTTGTGCCTTTAATAAAGTCTTTACAGCAACATTCTCATGGAAATGTATTTTTTTATAAATATAAAAGGTGTTGAGCAAAAAACAAAAATTCGATAAAAATTGTCAAACTGACTGAAAAATGTCTATTTCTTCGTCTTCGATTTCATAATTTTGACGAGCGCCCGATTTCACCGCACTGCCTCACACACATTATGTTACTTCTGGATAGTTTTTTAACAACAGTGTCTTTTGCATTTAGTGCATATTATGTAATGTGGGACCATCAGATTCTCTTTGGTGGCTGTGTTTTCAGTGTTTTGTGACACCCTTGAATTTTTCTTATATTATTTTTAAGCTGTCCATCATTTTTTACAAGTTGGCCTCAAAACCTGTCCACAGCAGTCTTTTGGGACAAACTTTCCTGCCTATCTGTCCTCTAAGCTACAATCAATGCCAAGAAGCTCTTATGACAGATGCGAATTTTGATGGAAATGAAATGGAAAGATAAAATTAATATTTTTGGATTTTAATTTAATCATCTTTTGACTTTTTCAAGTCTTTTAATTAAGTTGCCTTAACTCAGACCCTGTCCATAGTGGCCACCGGTCTAGAACGGCCACTTTTTTCTGTGGCCTAGAGTTTTATCGTTATGGACGGGTTTGAAGGTAATTTGGTTTCAGCATCAGAACACTGTGATCATAAATAAACATTAAATAAATATTGAAGTCGGTCAAAAAAATGTGAATAAGGGCAGGAATAGCTAAAATAACTTGATGATTTAAGCAACAGGTTTTTCCAAGTCTCTTAACCGTTTTTTTTTTTACTGAAATTTTTACCGTTAAATTTTTAACCGTTTAATCTGTTCATTGACCAAAACCAAGCTGTGCTGTGAACTGTTGTGAATGGCACCAACTTGTTTTTCTCTTACACTCTTATGAACATATCGCGACCTCAGTGCTTTCTTGTCGTATCTCCTTAAACTATCTCTTTGCTATGAACTGTTTTCTCTGTTATATTAAAAATGGAGATACGACAAGAAAGCAGCGGGGTCGCGTTATGCAATTGCGAACGCTGTAAAACTCTTACTAAAATAAATTTTCTTCTGTCAGTTTTGTCATTCTGAAATTGAAATATGGTCCTTTTGTTTTTCTCTCCTCATATTGTCAGTGAGAGCAGCATGTTTGTGACCAAGGATCGGTTCATCCTGAAGACATGCGGCACCACCACCCTGCTCATGGCCGTAGACCGGCTGGTGGAGCTGGTGAAGCAGCGCTGTGGCTATGACACTGTGGCCGTGAGTACACGTTGAACTATTGTAATTATTGAAAGGGAAGGATTTTCCTGTTTGTGTCTGTTTCTTTCTCTGACTTTTGTTTGACGCGGGGAGTATTGCATACAAACGTAAGTCATTCTTGGCAACTTTTTAGATATGTCTGTATGGAATACTGCCCTCGTTAACCTCCCTTTCTCTCTCTGTCTCTCTCTCTTTCTCTCTCTCTTTATCTCTCTCTCTTTCTCTCTCTTTCACCCTCTCTCTGTCCCATCTCTCTCTCTCCCTCCCTCCCTCCCTCTCTCTCTCTCTCTCTCTCTCTTTCTGTCTCT